CTGGGGTCTTCTGGGTCAAGAGCTTCATAATAAGTCTTGTAGCAAGCAGTACAAGCAAGTTTCTCTTCTAATTTATAGAGCTTGTCTGGTTGTTAAGGAGTGTAGCAATAACAACAATGGTGGGTTCTTCTTTTACTATAGTAGGCCATTCTTTGTTCTTCTACTTAATCTTTATCACATCCACATTTAAAAGTAAGGTTATCAAGTTTGAGTTGGGCAAGAGGGCAGTTGATTTCAATATGACCAAATTCATTACAACCATAGCATTAGTTGTCTGGACAATCTTTGAAAAGGTGAGTAGTCTGTCTACAAGTTCGACAACTATTTAATCTTTCACGTTTATTAGGGCAGTTAATGAGTACATGCCCAAATTGATTACAATAGTAGCATTGATTTCGGGGGCAGTCTTTGTATTGGTGGTCAGCTTGGCTACAGGTCTTGCATGATAGATATAACTGAGAATGGACCTCTGAGGAAATTACTATTCTGTTTCGAGCAGAACAAGTATCCCTCACAGAAGAAGAAGAAGTTACTTTACAACGAATCTTAAATGAATCCTTCAATACTTCTCAACCTGACTTTGATACTCGCAAAGCAATTGAGAATCTAAGAAAGAATTTTGAAGGAAAAGTAGCTCTTTGTCAAGAATGCCTTTTTGCTAAACAATGTACCGAATTAGAAATGAACCAAGGTCTCTGTGATGAATGTTATCAGGAACAGAACAAGCCAAATCTTTTAGAAGAGCAGAATATAGAAGAAACACACCATGATGATATTATCACCTTAGAACAACCTGAGATAAGTGAGGACACTATCTTTGAGGAGAGGAAGGATGAAGAAAAAGACCAGATTATTAACTGACTAGAAGCCAGAGTCCAATACTTAGAGGAAAATTTTGAAAAGATGATGGAATTTTTCCAACAATAAATTCAACATCATCAGGAACAAGCTGATTATTATGCTCATATGGCCTTTACACCGCAAAATTTTTGAGCTATCCTAGGCAAGATGAAAAACTACCTGAAGACTTAGAAGACTTAGAAGAATTACCAACAGAAACAGAAGCTTTGCAACAGGCTTTGCAAGCTAATGCTCTTAAACATAACTTTGTATACACTATAGACACTTTAATTCCTTACAAGGAATATATTTTAGAAAAGACAGACACTGTAAATGTAGAACCTTTTACACGTGATTAAGGACAACAATTCAAAGCCTTACTAGAAGAATTTGCTGACCTATTTGCTAAAGATATTACTGAACTTGGTAGAACAGACAAAGTTAAATATAAAATCTATACAGAAGATGTACCACCTATCAAGTTACGACCTTACAATGTACCTCCTGATGAACAAAAATTTATCAAGCAAGAAATTGAACAAATGATGGACAGCAACATCATTCGAGCCTCAGAAAGCCCTTGGGCATCACCTGTTGTTTTAGTACGAAAGAAGAATGAAAAGTTAAGATTCTGTGTTGATTACAGAAAACTTAACAGTATTACCAAAAAGGATGCCTACCCTCTACCTCGAATTCAAGAAATGCTGAATGCTCTTTCAGGATCTCAATGGTTTTCAACTTTAGACTTAGCTAGTGGATACTGGCAAGTTATGATGGACTCTAAAGATAAAGAGAAGACTGCTTTTATCACAAAATATGGAATGTATGAGTTCAATGTAATGCCATTTGGACTATATAATGCCTCTGCTACTTTTTAACGACTCATGGACCAAGTATATAAAGGAATTGCTTGGAAATTCGTAGTTGTGTATCTTGATGATACCAATGTATACTCTTGAACATTTGAGGATCACTTGAAACATCTAAGAATTGTATTTCAACGGATAAGAGATGCTGGATTAAAGCTCAACCTTGAAAAATGTAACTTTTGGATGAAGTCTTTACCTTTTCTTGGCTATATTATCAGCTCTAAAGGAATAGCCCCTGACCCCTCAAAAATTGAAACTGTACAGAAGATTCAACCTCCAAAGAACACTACCAAGCTACGATCTTTTCTTGGTTTAGTTGAATACTATTGACAATTTATCCGAAATTTCTCTGCTATAGCTCGACCTCTGAACCAACTTCTCCATAAAGATGAACCCTATTATTGGGGAAGCAAACAGCAACAAGCCTTTGATATTCTTAAAGAAAAGCTAACTACTGCACCTATATTAGCTTACCCTGATTTCCGCAAAAGATTTATTCTTGCTACCGATGCTTCTTATTATGGCTTTGGAGCTACTCTAAGTCAAAAAGATAAAGATAGAAAGGAACACCCTATTGCTTATGTTAGTAAAAGCCTAGTATCAGCAGAACAAAATTACTTTGCAATGGAACTGGAATGTGCTGCCATTGTATAGGCTATCGAACATTTTCACAGCTATCTTGGAGCTACTGAATTTACTCTTGTGACTAACCATCTTGCATTAAAATGGCTTAAAACTGTTGAACCAAAAGAGAGAATTGGACGCTGGATTTTGAAATTACAACCTTATAACTTTACTATTATACACAAACCGGGTAGAATTCACTCTAATGTGGATGCCTTCTCAAGACTCTGATTAACCAGAATTTAAATAATGAACTTAGATCAATACCAAAATCTATTTAATTATTTAAACTCTGATAAAATACCCTCTGACTTTACTACTTATCAACAGAAACAACTTCAAAATCAGGCTAAATACTTCATGATTAAAAACAGACTTTTGTATAAGAAAAACAAATGAGACTCTGCCAAACTATTTAGAGTTATTAGATGAACTGAAGTAGACCCGATCTTATATATGATGCATAGTCATCCTACTGCTGGACATTTGAGAATAGATGCTATGTACCATAAGATTGCAGAAAGATATTATTGGGACCAGATGTATAGAGACATTAAGGAATATATAAAGACCTGTGAGCAATGTCAGAAAAGAGGCACATCTAGAAGAAAAGAACTATTACATCCTATTAAAATAGGACAAGCTTTTGAAAGAATTGGAATTGATTTGGTAGGACCTCTACCAATAACATCTCGCAACAATCGGTACATTATTGTTGCAACAGATTATTTGACCCGTTGGCCAGAAGCCCAAGCCGTACCAGATGCAGAAGTCTTAACTCTTGCAAAGTTTATCTTTGAAGAGATTGTATGTCATCATGGAATACCCAAGATTATTCTCTCCGACCAAGGATCAAATTTTAGAGGAGATATAATGAAAGTTTTATGTGAAAACTTCCTTATGCAATATAAGTTTTCATCACCATATCATCCCCAAACTAATGGTATGGTTGAAAGACTAAATAGAACTTTGTGTGAATCACTAGCAAAAGTAGGAACTAAAGAAGACTGGGACCTCAATTTGCATGCAGTATTATTCGTCTACCGGACCAAAAAGCATGCTACTATAGGATATACTCCATTTCAGTTGGTATATGGAAGACAAGCTATCCTGCCAATAGAGTTAATTTTTCCTACTACTAAAACAGAAACAGAAATAGACTTGGAAGATAGTATCTTGACCCGAGCTTTTGAGCTTATGGACAAGTTAACAGAAGCTCAAGAACAAGCCAAGAAGAATACAAAAAAATCACAAAAGAAACAAAAAGAAAGATATGACAAGCGACTAAGGCCAGAAGAATTTGAAGTTGGAGACAAAGTGTGGATCCAATGAAAAGATATAGAAGCATCCCGCTCTGTAAAATTCGAAGATAAAAGAATAGGACCTTTCACTATCTATTCTAAACTTGGCAATGGTGCTTATCAACTTATTAATGATAAAGGACAAGTCTTACAAAAATATTACAATAGTGATAGACTTGCTCGATATCATAAACGACAGTATTAGAAACCCCAAGTTGTTATCAAAACTTTATCATCTGAACCTTAAAAACTTAAAAAAAAAAAATAAAATTTTATCATTATATTTTACTATAATTCGGCAATCCTGCTCTTGTTTATTTGAGATCAAGTTATTCAAAATTACAAGTAATTTATCTCTAACTAAAGTAGATCCAACCAAACGAAGGACTCATCTACGTGATTTTATATATCAGGTGCGACCTGCCTTAGTAGTCCTTGGCCTCCCTCCAGATCCTTAACTCACTAAGGATTTATTTCTCTTTGGTTATTGGCTGGCGACTACCTGCCTTGTCAGTACTACAGTCAGTGATTTTTCCATATTTGGTAGATCAGATTTTGTGTAACAGATTGCATTCTAGATCAATTCTAGAATGATCTGTAGATTTTCATTGGTTCACAGTTATACTTTTATGCTAGAAGTTTTTGATCTTTTCACAATATCTATCGATTACTAAAAACTATATACGAAAAAAGTAGAAGACCAAAGCTTTTATAATTAATAAAAAATCAGTCATAATCAATTTTTTTTGACAAAGTAAATGAGACATGAAAAAAGGTAACTTTTAAACTCATACTATCGGGTTTATTGAATTTCTACGCTTTTGTTACTACTCTTTTCTTTTTTATTACTGTATTTTATACTGTATAATATAATAACTTGTAAATATTGAATAATTTTGCTTCTGTAGTATTGTATATCTCATCGTGCTTTATACTTGTGGGTTTCGTGGATTAAGGTTTGTAATCTTCACTGGCATAAAAATTGGACCACGATTTACTAAGGTTTAATAGATATATCTTTTTTTTTTAATTTATTTATTTATTTATTATTATTATTATTATTATTACACTTGAATGTTTTGCGATATTATACTTTTTTTTGTATCTTATACTGGGAAGTTTCGTATATTAAGGTTTGAGATCTTCATTTGCGCAAAAATGTGGATGTGAATCACGAAAGCTTAATATGTATTATTTATTTATTACACAATTTTATTCTTTTGATATTCTAATATTTATTTATTCGTTTTAGATTCAGGTAAGATATTTTAAGATAGTAAAGCATTAGAATGAGTTGTTTTAGAGATTTTGTTAGATCAAAAATTCACAAAAGCTTCGGATATTTATAGCTTTAAAATTATCATGTCAGTTATGTCTATTGGGTAAAGACCTTAAATAGAGGTATGTTATTTGATAAAAGTCTTGCAATATTATTTACAATGGATTACAGTCTAAATTTCTCTTAAATTTCTAAACGTTATATTGAATTAGCCAAGCAATGCATGAATTCTGGTCCGAATAGAGAACAGCAGAACTGTACAAATGTGATAGTTAGGAATTAACTAATAAATATCAATAATTAAAGGTTAATAAATAAATTAAATAAAATGCGCTTACATTTCTTAAAACAAGATTTAACAGAATTTAAATTAAGTATCATCAAATCTTTTCAGATATTATCAGATCTAAATTTTAATCGCAATCTTTAAATTATTAAACCACACTCTATAAAGTGTTAAATCTTGTAATACCAATAAGGTTTCTAAATTAACTGTATTTTGAAATGAATGGGAGTTTAAAAAGATCCTATTTTCTGGTTTAAAATTTTAAGTAGAAAGTTAAATAGCGTAGCTGATGAAATTAGCTTCTTTGATAAATATCTACCGGTAAGCAATTATGTAAATAAGTATATCTAAAAAAAATAGGATTTATATGTCATTCCCTTTGAAAAAATATATTATTGTACTTATTTTATATAAAATCGGGCGTTGGGTTATTAGTATTTCGATTTAAAAATTCAGTAACAGTTATTTTTTTAAGCTCGCGTGATCTGATTGGTTGTTGACACGTGAATCTAGAATCATCCGATCAGTGATCCTATACCATAAAAGGTGTGATCGATACTGTCCAAATATGGAAAAATCTCTGACTGTACTACCTAATTATATTTATATTCCACAATGTAATTGCGCTTTGGCCGTGGCCAGTACTTGCGAACAATGCAAAGCATTGAATCGCTAATCTTAAAATAAGATTATTATATTGTGTATTTTCTATTCTATACATTTTAAACATTTTGCTACTACTTAATACTTCTTGTAATCTTCTATAGTTACCTTACTTCATCTTTTCATCTTTCATTTCCTTATTTTCTACTGGTAGTCTGCTCTGGCATTTTAGTCTTCTATTTTTCTTCTTCTTTTTATGTTTCTTCCAGTTCTTGAGATTCATCTTGCTCTTCTTATTTTTGATAGTATTCTTTATACAAGTTTTCTTCATAAGTTTTCGTTTGTAGCTCTTCTCTCCTTCTAGTTTCTTCTATATTACTTTAGATTCTTTTACTTCTAGAACTTGATTAGCTTGTTTGGGTCCTTCTTTACTTCTCCGTTGGAACTTTGTACTTTCTTTCTTTCTTCTACTCCATAGTTCTGCATTTCTTCTAATATGTATCTTTCGAGATCTAGTATACTTCTCTTTACTTTTTAGTCTTTCTAAAAACCTTCTTACTGTTTTAATAAGAAGTTTTTCTTTTTCCTCTTCTAGTTTTTGACTATTCGAAACTGCATGTCTGCTTTTTCTTTTTTATTCCATAAGCTTGCTTTTCTTCTGTATAGCTTTTTTTGTAGTTTAATATACTTTCTTTGATTTCTGGCTACTTCTCTTATAATTTTTCTTGCTATTCTAAACCTGGTGTCTTTCTTTTTTCTTTTCTAATTTTTAACTTCTATTGTTCTCTCTGTTGCTGCCTCTTGTATGATATTTTCTTCATTTGTACTAGTGTTCGTTACTAATTTAATTCATCTACTCTATTCATTCAAGATTTCTTTCTTTTTCTTTTTCCAGTCTTTAATATTATCTTGCCTACTTTTTAAGTTTACTTGATATATAAACTCTATTATCCACTTTAGTATTTTTCTTTGTGGAGTTTTAAGTTATTATCTAAATTCTTGGTCTTGATTCTTTGGTTAGTTTGTTTAAAGTTTCCTTTTCTGTAAGGCCTTTAATATCTCTTTCTGTATTTCTTTTCTTCAATATTTCTTCATTTTCTTTGGCTTCTTTATGTTTTTGTTTTAGCAGCTTTGCTTTCTGTTGAACTTGCATCTTCTTTATTTCCTTTCTAATTGTATTTTTTTTTTTTCTTTCATGTTGTTTTATTTCTATTAATTGATAATCCGCCTATGAACTGAAGAATAGGTGAAATGAGACGTCTGCTATCTAAAACTTTTTTTCTTACTAAGTTAACAATACAAGCTTACTAATTGAAAGTTGTAGAGCTCGTCGAGACGCATCTAACGGTGATTAGATCATCCAAATCGGCCCAGTAGATGGCGAGATATCATCAAAATACGATTGGCCGACTATATAAAAATCTGTGACAGAAATTACATATGAAAATCACTATCGGCGAAACATGGCGTGCTCAGCATAGCGGGCTTTCATTGTAATTGGCTGATTTTTGTAGATCATCCTGTGATATTGCAAAAACATCATTGGTTAATCGAAATAGTTAATTAAAATTTTTCGCAAAACGTTAATCGAAATCAAATTTATATGAAACTATATCTGATATAATTATTTATTAATACCATATAAAATTATTGGCATTAATAAACGCATTACTACAAAATCTATTGACTTAAAGTCTAAAACTATCATCTCAATACAAACAAAATCCAAATTCTTATTTAAAAAAAGTCTATTACACAAATTTAAAAAAAAAATATAAAAGCTCAAAAACATATAAAAAATATAAACCATTTATTTTAAGAGACAATAAAAAACCATATAAATAATTTTTTAATAGTACATAATACGTAACAATTCTAAATTAATAATCTTGAACGTAACACTATTCTTAATAATCTTGAAACGAAACACTATTCTTTAAAAAATCAGACGTAACACTATTTTAACCTCTCATAAAGCTTGCATGTTCATGCTTTCAATGCTTCATGTCACTAATCTATTTTACTGGCAGTACGTGTCTGTCTTTAGAAAAATAAACATGTTATAAATAAAATAGATTAGTGTTGTAAACCTTTTGAAATGACTTAAATTTACCAAGTCTAATACATCGTAGCTTATTTTGGTTAAATTGAAATGCCTAAACATACCTCTCATTTAACTTCCGAATTACCTCGTCAATTACCAAATTACTTTGGTATATTATAGAACTGAAGGTGTAGTTTCTGAATTTTTATATCGTAACCTTCCCGAATTCGTACTCGTGGTCCCGAAATCGTTTTTGTGCACTCTTGTGACAGAAAATCGTTACTTTAATAAGACTTTATTATGATGAGATGATCTTCAAAAATTAGCCAATCATGATAAAGCCCGCTATGCTTGCCAAACCACGTATGAAAAAAGGCGGTCTGTGGCAATGTTTGTAAATTGAAATGATAAACTCACGTATTATTTTTTTACTAATAAAAATATATTATTTACGTAATAAACTTTATTAAACTGCCATGTTTATTTAAATATTTATTACATTGACAAACAATTTTGATCCTTTAAAATATTTCCGCTAAGTAGAATTTATTCACCGACACTTTTTGACCCATTGATGAAGGCGTTTGAGAACACCCTAAGCGTATTACATATAGATTTATTCCTTTATCGATTCTCTTGAGAGCTATTGCCTGCTTGCTTCCTCATAGCCGAAATGTAAGTTTAGTTGATTGTATATAAATGTACGACTAGAGCGTTTAGGAATAGCGAGCCCCTTTCCCATATGTATTTTCATATATAGAGCAATAATAATTAAAATTGTGCCAAACTGCCCTTGTAACGTACCTCAATAGAAGCCTTAGAAATCAATATCCGCCTCCCCTATTTTATTGAGCAACGTTACACGTCGTCTCCTTTACCAAACGAAAATTTGTCGTATTCTTGTTTATTTGTGCGTGTGTTTCTGGTCGATTAGCCAGTAACAAATATAGCATATCTCGGTGTTACTTTCAATAACATTCCCGTTGCAGTATTATTTGTATCGAATTTCATTCGTATGATCATTTTATTTGGAAGTTCTGCAATCAAAATGTAAATTTTAAAATTTTAAGTTATTTAACCCCCACAGTACGAGTGTTAATTTTGGATTTAGGTTTACGTTACTGTTCCGAAAAAGGAAATTATCATTTGCACAATTTTGTTCTGTAAATCTAATTTCGTGTTTATGATCGTGTAGCGTTCAGAATATATTTAAACCCTCCTCTTTTACCTAGTTCTTTGCTAACGTTTAACTTAAACATTTAAAGAATCTCACACATTTAATTGCACTTACAAATTATAAAATCCTTTCGTAGGTCGCGTTCCAAGAAATATGAGCCTAAAATCAGTTCATGCTGTGAACAATGAGTGTGTGCTATATTTCAACATTTTTAGATTGATCAATAAATGGTTTAGCGGTGGTGAAAAAAAAAATCCACTTTCTCTTTTCATATGTCTCGATACTTCAGGTGATTATCTTATTCTTTATTTTAATTACTAGAATTTCTTGCTTCTGCGCTGTTACGCAACAAGACGTATTTCAAGTTGCGTAATACTATAATAATGTATTTTGTAATCAAGAAGTAATTTAAGCACTTACGCTAGTATACCTTGACAATCATTATGACATTTGGTAGCATTAACTCATACTTGCGCATTGCAGAATAGTCCATTTGAGTCTAATTGTATGTATAAATAGAGACATATAGAACGTTTGTAAAGGTTAGCTAATTAATTAGAAGTTAGTTAGTTGGATCTATGGATAGTACTCTGGGAGTACCTCTTGACTTGGAAAGAAATAGAGAACGTTGGTTACTTAGTTGTAGGTTTTGCTTATTTTTCTAACGTGTTCAAATATAATAAATACTTGCTTTCTTCTCTTAATGTTGATGTTCCTGAGTTGAATTGGTATCAACATAACGAAGTCTCTCCCACTGGACGTCACAACACTCAGTGATGCTAGAAATTTTGTTCATTAGCAATTAGCATGTTACTCCAGGCTTTTCGACAATAAATAGCCAGTTAATTCTACTAAAGGAATTATAAAAAGAAATCTGACAGTTATATTGAAACAAACTAAAACTATATGATTTAATTCATTATAGGTTCTATGCAAGAAACAATCAAACAAGCAAAAGATGCTATATTACAAGTAATTGAATGCTTAATCCATGAAGAAATTATCTCTGAAAGTGATATCACATGTTTTTTTTTATAATTCAGAATGTAGTGAAGTAAAATTCAGTAAAAATCCAAACATGTTATTGGCAAATGGTGAGATAAAAAAATACTTTGATACTGTGGTTGCTGGTGGAGGTAAATATATATTCACTTTTATTGTATCGATACATTAATGAGCTTTTGCAAAAAAAAGTTTTTTTTTTGTTTTAATTCTAAGGTACAAGCTTCGCAAGTGTTTTTGGAAAAATTATCAAAAATCTTAACCAGATTAATAATGATTTGGCTATCATCTTCTTCACTGATGGAGTTGACAAATCCTTAAATGAAAATCATAAAAATAAGTTGAAAGAAGCTTTGTTAAACATTCCATTTGGAACTGAAGTTCATAGTATTGGTTTTACAGCAAGTCATGATGCTAGTCAGTAAAAATTATGATTAACAAAGAGTTTATCAAATTACTTCATAATCTAAATAATTGAATCTTTTTAATTTATAGGTCTTCTTTTATGGTTAACACAGTGTGGAAGTAAAATCGGTAACTTTCTCTATATTAAAACTTCCAGTGATCTCAAAAATAAGATAGAAGATACTACATGCAAGTTACTTAAATTAAGAAAAAGAACTCTTTATGTCAAAATTGGAGAACAACAAAAACTAGTGTATTTTAATAATGATGGCATGGGAACACTTTATATCAATTGCAAAGAAAAAGATCAAAAAATCATTATCTTAAAGAAACAAAAAAGCTAACCAAATACGAAATATAAATTTACATCAATACATGTAATGTCTGATAATAATCCAATTGCTATTCAACTAATAATTCAATTTATCTAAGAAAAGATCATTATATTATTAAATGAAATTCTCATTTGTGATGCTGGTGTAAGAGATGAGAAATGTCAACAAAACTTAACAGATATAAACTTATATGATCAACGATTAGATGAAGTTTCTAATAATAAATCAAATGATTTTGTAAATACAAAAAAATTAATTGATATGTTTAAAGATTTTTTAACCAAGTAATATTATTTTTATTTTTGTATATATGCTTGAACTTTGCTTAAATTTTATTAATTTATTATTAGGAAAGATTTTTCGAATAATAAAATTGCAGAATTTAATGATTTTGCATATGGAATTGTCGCTTCAAGAAAACTAGAAGAAAGGTTTGATATTATTGCATATTTAAATTGTTTTTAAAAAATTTTAAATGTAAATTTTTAAAAGAACAAATAATAATATTAAACTACTATTATTTTAAACTTTTAAATTAATTATCAAATATATAGTAATAATGATGTTTGCAAGAATCAAAACATTTTTATCCCTTATGAAAATGGTATTTGGAATGGAAATAAAATTTATAATGGATCACATAGTAAAATTGAATTTGGAAAATATAAATACTGTAGTAAAGGAGTTGCAGGTTATTTAATTTTTATAAAAGTATATCAAAATTAACATATTTAAAGCAAATTTCTTATATTTATAATAATAAACTTTTTCTAATTATATTAATAGTTAAGCATTTTATTGGCAAGGTGAACTTAAATAAAAAAGTATGCGAACTTAGAAAACATCTTGATCTTAGGAATGCAGATATAAAAAAATATTATTACCTTTTATAGTTTGGTTAGAAAGCTAGATAATAAGATCTGTTTAGTAATAGAATATGCTGAAAATGAAAATTTACAAGATTATCTTTCAAAAAATAAATGTAAATGGGAACAAAAAGCGGAATGGGCTATTGATATTTCAAGAGGATTATCAGCATGTCATAAATATGGAATTATACATTTAAATATGAAAGCTAAAATATTTTCATTGATCATACTTTAACATTAAAGATTGCAGATTTTGGCTTCAGTTATATGAGGCCTAGATTAAATATTGAATGTTGTGTTAAAGGTAAATTAATTATTTAAATTGTTGTTTTTGTAAATTCTGAATCTTATTTCTAAATATTAGGATCGATTCCATGGGTTTCACCTAAATATATTTCTGATGATCCAAAAATGAAGGAATACTATAAGGATCAGCCACAACTTTCAGGTATGTTTTTAAAGTTTCTAATTTTTTAACATATTTAATAATAGCCTAATTTTATTTATGACATCTACAGTTATGGATTAGTTATATGGGAAATCTTGATGAATAGAAAAGAGTATATTAAATATATTCTTGAATTGATAATATAAAAATACAAACATTAACTCTCTATTATATATAGACCATATAATAACATGGATAATGATGAAATTATAGAGATTAAGCTTTCTAAAAAAATTGACAATTTAATTGAAGAACTTAAAGGAGAAAATACACCAGATGAATTAAGAAATATAGTTCAAAAATGTTGCGACTACAATCCTCTCAATCGTATAGCCTTGGAAGAAGTTGAACTTCTCCTTTCAAATTTTAATTTGGGTTAATAGTGCTAACCCAGCAAGTAAATTAATTTGTTTAAAATTTAACTATGTCATGTATAATTTGACTTAACATTCAAATTTGTTTGCAAAAATATTAACTTTGATTTTTATATATTAAAATCAGTTTTGAATTATTTTTATTTATTTATTTTATTAATCTTTTTTATCTATCTATTTATTTTTTTAGCCTTTATTTTATTTATCTATTTATTTTTTTAGCCTTTTTTTATTTATCTATTTATTTTTTTAGCCTCTATTTTTATCTAGTTATTTTTTTTTTGTTTTTTTTTATCTATTTATTTTTTATTTTTTTTTATACGAATTTGCAATCTTATTTCTCATGTAATTTTTTAAAAAGCAAATAAATATATGAATTATAACATAAATAAAGATGATGAAAGTGAAAATTATAAAAGTGAAGAAAATAAAAATACTAATAAAAGAAGTGAAAAATTATGAAGGCTCATCATCTGTACACAAAATTTCGTCACAATAATTTTTACGTTTTTCTTACTTAACGGAAAATTTTATTACATTAACAACCTTTTGTCTCTTAATAACATTTGTTCAGCTAATGTTTTTACATATACCTATAAAATTTCAAGTCTGTATCTCTCATCGTTCTTGAGATATTCGATTTACAAGAACAGATAGACAAAACTCTGTTCTCTTCCCAAAGTTCTGCCCTTTCTGTCAAACTGGGCTTAATAATATACTGATACCTCATAATTGAATTTGCAGTGCTCATCTCTGGCTTCAAAACAAGCTATAGTACATCAAATTTGACCTAAAATTGATCATTTTAGAATCGAAAATATC